CGTCATCGACTACGTACCGTACTCCGCGTAGTCTAGTCTACCCGAGGGGAAAGAGAGAGAAAAAAAAAAAAAAGGGTCCCTGAACCTGACCCTCTTTTTCTTTCCTTCTGGGCCTCTTCCTTCCTTCTGCCTGCCCTTCGGCTATAGTTATTCCAACTGGATTGGTAGTTAGGTACTCCGTAGTTACTCATGAAATTCTCACAGTCGTGCCGAGAATCGGATAATGTCTTTTGTCTTTTTTTGCCACCAGTCTTTCTTTGTGCGGAGTACAGAGTCCAGTACTCCGTACAGTCCTCTCAATATTCTCCATCCCTGCATTCGGATGCGATGTCGATGTATCCAACCCGCGAACGGACATCTGACAGATCCAATCGCGGTAACTTTCTAGAGAAGCAGAAGAGTGAGAGCCAACCCCAGCCTTCAGCCTCTAGACCTTTAATTCTCCCCTAATTCAGCTCTCCCTCGCCCTCTCCTCCCCCCTTGCGACAACGGCTTTATTTCTCCTCGAGTAGTCGCCTAGGTGAATTACCCTCAAAAGGACCCAGAGAGGGTTATTTGTTTTGCTTCTTCGACCTTGTCTCTATACTTCCTACCTCCCCTCCCCCTTGTAGTCTAGTCCATTTAGTGTTAGTGGTGAGGGTCCAGCTCAGGTTATAGTATGTGCATCCATTCATCCATCCCAACCCACTCATCCATCTGCAACTCACTCTCAGCCCAACCCTCGCGTTTTTCCCTTTTCCTGTACTCCGTACGTACCTTATCCTCGCTCCTCCCTTCCTGCTCTCTGGTTTTCATGACAGGTCCAATCCCCCCATTCCAGATCCGGTGACAATGGTCCACCGTCCGTAAACACAAGCCCGTCGATAATTTCCAGTTCTGCTCCTCTCCCGGGGACTTTTAGTTTCCCAATTGGCTGCATCGATTTTTCTGTCCGATTTGCTCGGGGGGATGTTGTTGACCCTCCCTTCAAACCCCCGAATCCAGTTTTTTCCTCTCGAAGACAGGTTCTATTTTAACATCCACAAGAAAAGACCTGACGAGCGTTGACATGATGGCAGTGGCGGCACCTCATCTTCAACAACAAAGGAACCAAACCCAGCGACAAAAGGTCTAGCCCCAGATCCTCAACCCTCCGAAGTGATTTAACCTGTTTCGTGTCCTTCAATCCAAGACTCTAGCTATCCAGATCTACAATCCCCTTTTCTGTCCTCCACTCTTCTTGCCCCCCCCACCAAACCAAAGACCGAACAGAAGTAGATAGATAAGCTCCGTGCCTCCGAGTTGGGAAAACAGAACAAGAACCCGGAAAAAGACTCGACATATCAGATTTTGCTGGTCAAATCCTTCGATTCAGCTTTCATCAACTCATTGCCCCCGTGATGGCCAGAAAGGGGGCCGGCCGCATGATGTTCTCCCACACATGCCCATCCAAATTTGACTTTTGTCACTCCATCAATCATCCTTTGCCACTGGAACGAGGGGAACATATAAGATTAATCATACACATCACATTTTGCACATACGGTACTCAAGTCTATTGAGAAGCTCCAGTGGAGATGAGAGTTGGGGCCCAGCACGAGGAATTGCAGTTTGCGGTTATTGCGGCTTGCAATGATGGTAATATGTAATTGGAGGTGTGTGTGCGTGTGTGCAGAAGGGGATCGATCTTGCAGCTATTCGCAAGTCCCAAACTCTGCGCTTTCTCTGGATCTGCTTCCACTCGATTGGTAGGGATATATCGAAGATAGACACATTCGGGATGAACCCTAAAACTATCTGGGATTCCTTTCGAGTTTGTTTTGTTCCAGACATTCCGCGGTGGACAAAGCATCCCCGCGGAAGGGTCCAATCGGCTCCATCGACATGGAAGCTAGAAAACATTCCAGACGAAGCTGAGAGAACGAGGGAGGACAGCCAAATCAGAAACCGTCGAAGTTTCCATACCTTAGTCGCCGTCTCCTTCCTCCCTCTTTCACACAAATCCCATCACGGGGAATCTGAATCTGACAGGCCCCAGGGGCCCCCAGTCGCCACCCCGTCATGCGAACCGACGAAGCTTCTGTTTCTGTTCTGGGCTGGGCGGGTTACCATCCATGATGCAGCTTCGATCCGACCATGATGGACCTAGCCCTAATCCAGCAGCCGGCGCATGACAGCTGGCAGCTGGAGAACTACCGATACTGTACGCCGTACCTGTCAGCCTTCAGGAACCGTGGGTTCGTGATCAACCTTTCACACGAGAAACTAGTGGGTTCAGCTTTAATCAATAGTAGGTCAATCTAAATCCCTTTCATGCAGGATCTAGGATACGTGATAGCAACCGCAAAGAAAGGTGGGGTGGTGTTGTCGAGTCGACTTGCTGTCAGCGGCGCTTTTCCATCGTCAAATTTACCAAAACCAGTATATGTGCAGGCCAGAAGAACTCTTCTTTAGGGGACTAAGACAGGTAACTTAGAGAGCAGCTGCTGTCATGAAGCTCACGGGTGTGATTTACGGAGGACCTTCTGCTGCAACTCCGCTACAGCTACAGCTTGCAGCTGCACCCTTCACCCTAACAGACAGCCGACAGCACTCGGCACATCCGAAACTCTACAATTCCGGCGGCACTGAGTCCCCCCACCGTCCAACCTTGCGCAACGTAGACTATACATACAGCGGTATAGTCTGTTTCCTCATCCCCTCAGACACATGTCTCGAGGAGGTCACAGGGTAGAAGTTCATCACTAGTCACTCTACTCAAGAATGGACCGGCATGTCGAGTTGCGTGACTGTAGATGTAGATAGTCGAAGCGCGAGTCCACATGCTGATCACAGCAATGGAAACCAGCACGCCTGTTTTGGTTTACATATCTTCTGTTGCTCTTGTGGAGAGGTTCTGAGTTTAGCATCAATCAAGCCGAAGGCTCATCTCTCTGGCCGTCATTCTTGCGGATTTGACATGGCCATGGATGATCTTTAACTCGGCAGATGGAATAAGAAGCTGACAAGCCGGCATCGAAATCCCATTTCGAAGTGACCCGAGGCTTGTAAGCTTGTATCCAGCACTCAAGAAATCTAGTAAATGGCTGGTCGTCTGGATCGGCTGCTGGCCTCGTCATGTCCTCATCTCACGAATGGGCCGTAGTATAAAACGGGGGGGGACTTTCCTCTGTACAGACTCTCGATAAGAGAGAATTACGTTGGTCAGTGCCGCATAGACCGCGAGACGACGCGTGCCACTATCTATTGAATCTCTTCTGCAAGTATTGACCTGCCCACAAACAAACACGGAGTGAAATAGAAGTAAAATCCCACCTCCGCCCTCACCCTCGCCCTCACCCTCGCCCTCATAAACCTCATCAACCGCAACGAACCATCCGCTACACCAGAGAAGAAGACAAAAGGAATACTGTATACAACCAACCCAAGAAGAAATCAAAACCAAAAAGCTCACACTGCAGGAGCAGCCACCATATGAGTTGGTAGGCCACTCCTCTGTGCAGTGCTACGAAACCCCTCTCTTATCCCCGAGGGTTTTCATCCCAGTTCTATCTCCCGACGGGGTGGAGGAGGGGGGATATTCCTGCGTCAGGCGTTATTCCCTTCTCCCCTGCCGGGGTTCGAACGCGGGACCGATGGCGTTTGACCTTGCTACGCTCGGCGAGTTCCCCACTACGCCATCGGCCCTGCTGGTTGCCGAGTAAGCACCTCGACTAAAATATAGCCCAGCACCCACTAGCCAGTTTGAGAACAATATTCGCGAGACATCGCCGAAGTACCGCTCCGCACGGCGTCCGTCCACATTAGTATTCTATGTGGTGAGCTGAGGAACACTTCCACTCCACGCCCGTCCTATGTGAAATTGATGAAAGTGTCTTATCTCTTCTTGTCCCTGTACTCAGTAGCCCATAATACTACATTTATGACATCCACATTCCACATTGCTTTTGCCAAACATTGCCAAACATGCAAACCCCTCAAGTCCATCAGCTACATACCGTACTTTCCAACTAGATCTATACTTCACCACCACCAAGACCATCACCCCCACCACCAAAACGTCCCACCACCCATCAAACTCTTCCGCCCCTGAAAACCAATATACCCTCAGCCATCACACAACCTTAGACCCATAAACACCACAGCCCGACCCACCCCTTCCAGAAAAACCCAGCTCCAACCACCAAACGCGATACATCACATCCCTCCACGCGCAACCAGCCCTGAGCCGACATATCAACCAACCCATCCATCCATCAATCCATACAACCCGCACCAACGACCGACCGATCGATCAATCAACCCAACCAGCTCACCACGACGCAAATCTCCACCGATCACGAACCCGATCTATCCCGCGATCAACATCTGGAAACCGGGAATTGAAACGAAGCAAGATCCAACCTAGTAGAGAACGGGGCATCGCTTTCTGCTGCGCTTCTAGAATGCGAGCTACGCCTCACTAGAACCAGGAGTGGAAGGGCCATGCAGGAGATTTAATATACTTGGGACATTGTGGAGTATAGTATATCTATACATGGGGCGGTCGAGCTGGATTTTGCTTTTGTTTTTGGTTCTATGAATAGACATTTGGTGGGTGGGTTATTGTTGATCTTATGGTTTCTGGTCAAACCAGGAGTTTCGTGAGAGTTGCTATTTACCACTGCTTGAGGGATGTTTAGGGGGCTAAGGATTGTACCTAGTAGGCAGATTTGATTACGACAGAGGTGTTGATATTCGATGGGATTGGGGAATATGGAAAGAGGCAGGGTCTTAAACTATGGCAGCCGAACAAGGGCTTTATGGCTGTAGTAGCTACCGCAGAACTACATTTACATAGGATGGGAGGCACGAGAGAATAATTCTTTCAAAAGGTTTGAATGTTGATTTTTTATAGTTCTTCATTTATTGAGAGAAAGGAAAGGAATCAAAGAAACCCACCGCAAGAAAGGGCCGAGCCGAATGCTCAAAATCCTCGTCGCCAATCTTGGCAACCAGTTGCCTATTCCTCCCCAAACACACTATTCCCCCCCGGTCTCCTCGATGAACTTAATCCGCAGTGCCTGCACCCGATCCCCATTCCAGGGCCCGAAGATCCGACCGCGCCAGCCACCCCGAGACCGAAACCCGGGCTGCTGGGACTCGACGACCCGGGCTTGCGCCTCCCGCTCCACCGCCCACTTCCAGAACTCGTCCAGCTGACGCCGATACTGGCGGTCGAGCTTGGGGAAGTGAGCGATATCCGCCGAGCAGTAGTTGAGGAAGTCGTTGTCCAGCGGCCGGCGACGCAGGATGTGGCTGTCTCCGTCGCGGCCGATATAAAAGCAGTTGAGGCGGCCGCGTTCTTTCTCGGCCCGCCAGCGGCGCGCCTCGGGCTCGGTTAGCCCGGCGTCATCCTTGATGCACGCCGCGAGATTGGTCACCCGACTGTTGTCGCGCCGCCAGCCCTCGGAGGCGGCGTGCTGCATCAGCTGGAGGTCAGCAACGCGCTGGAGGCGAATCTGGAACTGACTGAACAGCGCGTCCGAGCCATTCCACACCTCGAAGAAGACCTTGGTGCGGTTGGGGGACTCGAGGATGGCCTGGAGGCTGGTAGTCTTGTCGAGACGGGAACTCGCGGTCGTGGAGAAGGCCCGCGCGCCGAGGGTCTCGAGGTCCACTGCGTAGATGTTGTCCATGCATTCCAGGTAGATTAGCATCAGGCTCAGGGTACCTTCGCGGGAGAGATTTACACCTTTCCAAACGATGTAGAGTGGCTCGAAGGGATGCGCGATGATCGTATTGACAAGGCTACGAACCCCATCTTCAGTGTCGATGGGATGAATGGTGCTCATTCTCACGTCGGCCATTGCTGGTAAACCGCGATTTTGCTGATCTTTAGTAGCAGTCGACAATTTTTCGAACAATTATGCTGCTTCTCTGTGGAAACCTATCTTGTATGAGATGGTGGACTGGCCGGTCGAGAATGGGAGTCAAGATCTGGCTGTTCCCATTGGTTTTATAATTGCAGGGTGGAAGCGTGGAAAGGATTTTCTTTGGGCTATTTTAGGGGGATTCCCATAGAGCATATTGTTGGATCTTTGTCTGTCAATGCACTCGAACCATTCTTTGTTTTCTTTTCGAAATTGAGCATTTCATTCAAACTGCAGGGATAGGACTACCACATGCTTTGTGACGCAGAACGATGGCGAGTCAGGCAGTCATCACGAAGCGATCCATAATCTTTGCGTGATAGAAGACGGAGACGGAGAGGTATGCATGTCACCGATGGATCTGCATATTAGTAGTCCAAGGAGGATGCAATAGATAGGGCTAGAATATGGAAAACTTCGAGTCAAGGAAGAGCAACGAAAAAGAAATGTATGCAAAAAATGATATATATCCCCTTGGGGAATAAAAAGGTAAAGATACCGAACCAAGTCTAGGCAGGCAGGTAGTCAGTCATAAACATACACAAAACACAAACATACGCAAATGCTCCGCTCCTTTCCACCACAAACCCTTACAGAGCACCCAGCTCCTTCAACTTGCCGATGAGTCCGTCCACATCCTCAACCTTACCACCACCCTGGCGAGCGGGAGGTTCTAAAGAAAGACAATTAGCTCCAATTCCCTTCTCGTGACTGATAGAAACACGCCAGGAAACTCACCAGTGACCTTGATCGTCTTCAACCGCTTCTTATCCTCGATGCCGAAGTCGGCCAACGTCTTCTTCTCGAGGGGCTTCTTCTTCGCCTTCATGATGTTCGGCAGCGTGGCGTACCGGGGCTCGTTCAACCGCAAGTCCGTCGTGATGATCATGGGCAGCTGCGCGCGCAGGGTCTCGACGCCGCCGTCGACCTCGTGTGTAACCTCAACCGTGCCGCTCTCGTCCTTGATCTCGACCTTGCTGGCCTGTGTCGCCTGCGGCCAGCCCAGCAGACCCGCCAGCATCTGGCCGGTCTGGCCCTGGTCGCCGTCGATCGCCTGCTTGCCCAGCAGCACCAGGTTGATGTTCTCCTGCTTCACCACCGCCTGCAGCATCTTGGCCACGGTCAGGGGCTCCGGCCCGCCGTCCGGGCTGTCGCCCACGTCGACGTGGAAGGCCCGGTCCGCGCCCATCGCCATCGCTGTGCGCAGCGTGTCCGCGCACTTGGGGCCGCCCGCCGACAGCGCCAGAATCTGGTCCACCTTGATCGGGCTCTGCTTCTTGGTGTGCCGCTCGCGCAGGCGCACGGCCTCCTCGACCGAGAGCTCGTCGAAGGGGTTGAGCGAGTGCTTGACGCCGGCCGTCTCCACGCCGGTGTTGGCTTTGTTCACGCGGGGTTTGACCTGTTTAGTAGGGATTGGTCTTTAGTTTATCTTTTTTTAAATTCGGAGATTATCGCCATGTCGTATGGATATGAGCATGTTGAGTTTGATTTCGAACTTGGGACTTCAGTATTGGGGGAGTGCAGTGCAATGGCTATGAGGGCATCGTGGCGCGGAGATTCGACTCGGCAACTTCAACTTCTCACCGAAGCCGGAGCACGGCAGGGCAATAAAAACTCACCGCATAGTCGATAACCCGCTTGATGGGGACAAGAATCCGCAGGTTGCTGGCCATTGTGATTGCTATGTGAGAGATGTTGGACCAGGTGAGTACAGTTCCGATGGGCTCGTGAGGGGGAAAATGTAAAGAGCGCGAGGGAGGAGGGGGAAGAGAGATGGGGGAGAGAGGAAGAAGTGTTGTAGCTTAAACCGATCCGTCGGAGCAGTCACAGACTCACTCACAATCCATCCGCGGCAGAAAGCAGGTGACTCTAGGCGGAGAAGCCCCCGAGGCGGGCCGAGCTCATCATCTCTCCCCGCCTGTGTCAATCCCGCCTCCAACCGAGGTAAGTCAGAGCAGTCAAGGCAGATGTCTAAATAGAATACTACTTGGAGTCTTCCTGACAGCTGATAGAGGGCAAATGACCTCATTGTGCTTGAATTATGTTCTAAAATGGTCTCTCATGTCTCGTACCCCCCCAAAGGTCTATGCAGTCGGTCTCACTAACCGACACAATGATCACCACGTTTCTTGTTTATACCGGCCTGTCTTCTCCATCCCCAGCAGATACTGCTCGGCGCCCTGTTCATTGAACCGATCAGTCTCCACCTCCGGTCCGTGCTGAAATGCCTCAGTGAGGGCCTGCCGCACGGCTTTGGGCATATTCCCAGAGGATCCGCAGATGTACACCGAGCCACGCATGTCATGCAGGAGTTTAAAGAGGAGGCCGACATGCTCGCGGATCACATCCTGAACGTAGACCTTCTGCGTCTGGTCTCGCGAGAAGGCAGTCAGGACCTTCAAGCGGACCAGCTCACCCAACTCCTCCCACTCTTGTTCGAAGAAGAAATCCGCCTCTCTGTTGCGACCTCCATACACGAGCAGAGTTGGCCCGATCGGAGGCTCAACTCCAGGGTTTTCTTCCTTGTACGCCTTGACGATCGCGGCCTTCTCCCAGATCATCGATCGCAGGGGCGCGATTCCAGTTCCAGGGCCAATCAAGACCGTCGGTCCTACTAGTTGATTGACCGATGAGTTGAGGCCCCCACGCTGCAACTGCACTTGCAGTGTACTTCCGGGTTGAAGCACCGATAGATACCGGGTGCAGACCCCCTGTCGAATGCGCTTGATGACTGTCTGATACTTGACGATAGCGACCAGCAGCTCAAATTTAGTGCCCCCCTCCGCTGTATGCTTGAGGGCGCCCCCGCTGGCAATACTGAATTGTCTCGCTCTCATGATCGGAAACACCGAGACCGCATGCTGCCATGGAATCTTCACCGAGTCGAACTCGTGCAACACCTCCAGGATGCTGCGTCGCGGCCGAGTGGTATAATCCCACAGTTCGTCCAGGAACTCGGGGTTGGTGAACTCCAGAAGACGCTCCTTGTGCATTTCGTAATCCGTGTAATGAGCCACTGTAGCGAAGAACGCTCGGCGAGGAATGGCCTGAATGTCGAGGTAGTCGGTAAGGAGAGCGCGTAGGGTCAGGTTGGGATATGAGTCGAGACCCTGAATAGGCGGAGAAGGCATATCCTCGTCGTCTGCCGAGAGCAATGTCGGCCCAGGGACGAGTGTCACCGGCCGATCGACATCTGCCTCCCAGCCCATCATCGTGATGAGATTGTCCACGTCGACGGCGAAGTTCTTCGGGGTGATGGATAGCATATCCCCAGGAACGTAGGACACTGCTTCAGGGACGGTCAGGGACAAATGGCGCACATCCTGCCAGTGATTCGCGGCAGTCGCCCGCCTATTCTCTGTCAGTGTCGCCGTCAGCGTATCTGGCAGCGGCCGAAGATCATGACCGAGTCGGTCCAGCTCAGAAGATCCATTGACTCCTGCATCAAATCCTGCGGCTCGCTCCGATGTCAAGGATTCCTCCCCATCATCTCGTAGTTGCAAGACCCATTTCGGAGGCAGCTGAACGTTGTCCGGTATCGGCACCTGCCCTGGCGGAAGCGGATATGTGTCGAGCAGATGCTCACGAAGCCTGGTGAACCACGGGATAAACGTCCCCTCAAGACTATTACCAACCATCACATCAGCATCTCCGTATCTCCCGGGCTGTTTGCTGCCAATGAGCAAGGGAACAAAAATCTCACCCCTCGGGATGTTGCTGGTCCGCCTCTCCGCAAGGATGTATCTCCTCCGCGCCCAACTGAAGCAATCGTTTATGCAGCTTGCGAGCCGCCCAATTAAACCTATACCCAACGTCAATCAGCTTCCCAGCTTAACTACTGTGAACCTTCCCCATCAAAACATCTCCCACGCACTCACTTCGGATAGGAACTATCCCCCAACCCAAAAGCCGCAAAATTGACCCCACGCAAGAACGTCGCGGGGAGCTTCTTCAACAACAACGATCGCCAAAACGATCGCGCATTAGCCGGGAAATCGCCCTGCCCGGTGGTGGAAACAACAAGTAGCACCAGCGTGTACGAATTGAGTGTTTCCTAACAGTATCGTTGGAGTCAGCGTTGGAGGTTCGTGCACACACGCACACACACTCTCTCTTAACCATCTACATCGCTGGCGATGGGAGAAACCGTACCGGCTTGTACTGATTCAGTTCCGCAACATGGGTCTTGAAATGGAGCCGCTCGGTTAATGCGCCGAGCTCCTCGGCGACCTCTTGAGAATTACCAGTTTCGGAGCCATAGAGGACGAGCGCAGAGCGTCTCTGTTGGGTTAGCTGAGAATTGCTGCTCATTGCTTCCGGTATGGCACGTGCTTGCGCAATACTTGTAGTTGATATCGAAGAGCGGGAGCGAGTCACTTCCGTTTTTTGCGGTTTCAGTCACTCACTCACTCACTCTCACTCTCACTCTCACTCGCTATCTTTTTTTGGGAAGCCCCCCTCCTCCGGAACGAAGGCCTTTTGCGCCGACAGAGCGGGATGACGTCATCCCGACGATCGGTCGGTCTCTTCGTTGCGAGGGGAATTTGGGGTCTTTTTCACTGGTAGTATGGATTGCTGGGTCTGGAAGTCGAGTTGATAAGAGTCTTCTACCTGGTGATGTGTATATAGATAACATCAAATCCTTTGAAGAAGTCATTTTTTGACAAGAAACCATTCTTACTGATTGAACCTAATTACAACTGCTCGCGAACAGTATGGTTCCCAAAAAGAAAACACGGCCAATTACTCCGTACACATGTCTCAAACCATAAAGCCCGATAAATCGCTCAGATTGATAAGATCGAAGGAGATAATGAATATAAGGGTATCTTAAAAATAAGCGCCCGCTTTTTAATACGTATCCTCATCAGCACCCCCGCCGCCACCATCTCCGAACCCATCGTCGCCGTATTCATCGTCGCCGCCATCGAAGTACTGCTCCGCGTTGTAATCCCCACCCATATCGTCGTCGTCATCCTCGAAGTCATCATCCATGATCTCCTCTTCCTCCTCGTCGGGGTCCAGGACCTCCCGCTCATCATCCTCGTTCTCCGCATCGCCCTCCTCTGCGTTCTTCCCCTTCTTGCCCGCCTCGTCGTCCTCCTCATCCTCATCGTCCTCAAACCCGCGCCGGATTCCGGGCCGATCAATGCGCAGCACGTATCCGTCCATCGCAGCATCGGGCTTGAAGCTCGGCTGAATGGTCTGCCACAATTCCTTGGGGAAGAATTTCATCACTGCAGCAGCAAAAACAGCCCCTCAAAGTTAGCAAATGTATCTCCTTAGAAGTAGAAGCCCCCCCAACTAGGAAAACCAGACAAGCAACCCCAAATCTTCCACCTCAAGCACAAGGGAACCACAAAACGGCACACAACTCACCATACTCCCTCCCCGCCAACTTCGGCAACGTCCGCATCTTCTTCTGATACTTGCCCGAGTACGAGGGCATCCCATGGAACGGATCGAAGTGTACCCGCGCGGCACTCTCCTTCTTGGCCGACGACGTCGCCGAGTCCAGCACAGAGTAATACGGCCCATCGTGGAATCGTTCTCGAAGCGACCGGTATTGATCCACCTGGATCTGCTCGTGGGGGGTTAACGGCCTGGCGCGGGGGACATGGTATTTCTAGAATGTCGGAAAAAAAGTTGTTAGCATGGGATCCGTATTGGACCCCGACACTGATGCCGGGAAAATCCTTGTTTCGAAAAAAAAAAGAAGACGGATGCATTCGTTCCTCCCAATGAAAGACAGACAGAAACATACCGGAAAGAGAGGCGTCGGCGCGGTGTCATTTTCTCCGCCTCCTTCACCAGTTTCCCAACTGAATTCTGCTCCGGGGAGCTTGCGGCCCTTCTTGGCTCCGAAGCGAGACATGGTGAAAGAAGATGAGGGGTATGTCAGATGGAGATATGGTGTCAATTTCGTCCTGGGCCTCTTCGTCTCGTCACAGCGGCAGTAATGCTGTACCAAGGTCGAAGGGCGACGGCGGGGAAGACTTGCAATGAGAGTGACTTTCAGAGGGGGCTGCAGCGCGGCTGGAGAAAAAAAGTACAAGGGCTCACCAAGGGCTCACCTTCTGGACTCCCGGCGGAGCTTGGAGTCACCGCCTTCGGAGATACGCTGAAGTAGGAAATAAGGGCTTGTCGCGCGGGAGCCCTGACATCTTACTTCCAATGTCAACCAATCAGATCTCAAGTGGTTATGTACTGAGTGAGGTTTCCTGCATGCAGTGGCGTATATCATCTACTTACTTGTCTCAGGCTTGTACGATTTAAACGCTAAAAATAACTAAGTCTGCTTCCGAGAACCACTGAAACGAAGAAGAAAATAGCAGAAGTACCTATTACAGCCCGACAGTTGCAACTTGGTTGCCATGTTGAGTGGTTGGCCCCCATGGGCCCTCGTTGACGCGTTGACGGAGTGTACGCATGATATCGTCGAACCCAGCCATCTGTCCGCCGCTCTCTTTCAAACCGTCATACAAAGCGACCAGCACCTCATGCTTCGCAGTTGCCACCTTCCATACCGCGTTCTGTGGATCTGCGGCACCGCCTCCAACAAATTCGGAATATGAGCGCGGAGGTTTGAAAAGGTATGGCAGTAGGACTGTAAGAGCCGGTGGTGTCAGAGCGGCCCAGGCACCACTTGACGGAAGAACGCCCTGTGCCGCTGGAGAAAGAGTCTCCAGGCTTTGTTCAGTAGGGAGCTGATACCTGGTATGGCCAGGAGCAGAGGTCGGCACTTCAGCCGGCAAGACCTGCCAATTGGCGGTAATGATCGCTTTCATAAGTGACATAGCGGCCAAGGAGACATCCTTCATAGCGAGGATGTCGGCGGTCGCGACAACATCTGTCCAGAATCCAGTGTGCTGATTCGTGTATTGGAAGTAGAGGACCCGAGCGGCCGCTGCTTCTTGGTGCCAGTCGGTTGGGGTTTGGCCGGACGTGTTCAGCTCCATCGAGTCAGCCAGATCGGGTTTGACCGGGCCATGAAAGACCTTGGCGAGCACGTCGAGGGCCTCCTTATTCGGGGGACTACTGGGAACAGATAGCACCGCGTTCAGGACTTGCTTGCTGGCTTCCACGAGCAAGACTCGAGGCAAGCAGGAAAGCACGTTCAATTGTCCGCTGGGGACGGGCCCATGCGCCCATTGAGCGGACGAAATTGCCACAGATGCAGCGACGCGAGATACAATGCGGTCTAGCAGATGTCGAGGATTCTGCAAAAGGTGGTTGGGGTACAGTTCAGCGTACTGTGCCACGTAGGACATGATTGGACCGCAAAGATAGGCCAGGTCGATAGAGTCCAGTTTGGACTCATCGAGGTAGAACTCCAACAAAGTAGTGTGTATATCGTTTAAGATGAGGAAGTCAAGCGCTGGCGAGGAGAAGGTAGACGCGGATTGTACGGTCATTCGGGCCATGAGACCCGGGGCGTCGATGGCCAGCAGGTCATGGAAGAAGTTGATCAGAGTCATGTGCATCAACACATCGCCCCGGTCAACCATCCTGCAGGCGACAAAGTGAAGAAGGCTGTCGCTCTGGTACTTGGTTTCCACATCTGCGACTTGAGAACTTGAGATGATGTCCCAGCGCAGTTGCCCTGCCTTCACGAGGAAGCCCATCAACCTCCCTTGAGCCACTGTCTTGTCTCGCTTCGAGATGCCTCCAGGCCCATTATCCTCGAGACTGCATATGGAGAACAACAGTCCATAGACATCTTTATCCGTGAAGATTCTTCTCCAAAACAGACCTTGACCAGCAGTTGTTCCATCAGGCTCATGCTCGCCAAGCTCCAGCGGACTAGCGAGATCGATCTCCAACAAGGTCCAAATGGTGTCTAACGCCGCTTGAGCGACAGCGGTAGACGAAGTCGACAGCCAAAGCTCTACCAGGGATGCGACGAGCTCAGAGTCCCCCGCGACAATGGCAGCATCACTCGGGACTCTACCCGCTTTGCTCAACAATGACAAGGCCAAGAGGTTAACTGGTGGGGAGGGCGCTTTGAATCCCGCGATGAAATTAATAGAAGGGTCAACAGCACGGAGATCGCTAAATGAGAGATACCCTGCAGCTTTGATTGCGAGCGTTGTGAGAGGGGTAGGATCTTCCTGAAGCACCGGCAAGAGCTCCGAGATCTGTATCAGTAGAGTGGCGGGGACATTGCGGTCCGTATTCTCCGTCAGTTCTAACTTCAGCTTATCTATGATGTTAGTATCCAGCTTGGTAGAAGGATCACGCTGGATCTGCTGTAGATGAAGTCTGGCTTCCTCAAAGGTCGTAGGCACAGCCATGCTGTTCTAGTGTAGCTTGTTCTGCTGTGTTGTTGCAGGATGAATGCACCTGGATTGATGCCCGCTCAGCGCGGGGAGGAGGGAAAGCTGGGTTGCAAACAAGACAAACCGCTGACAGCTCCGCTCGTACCTCCGGATATGATGAGAGAGCATCGCCAACTCCATCGCAATCACCAACTCCCATCATCACAATTCCCAAGGTCGTGACACAATGTCTGAACATTCCGACTCACTTGTATCTCCCAAAGCATCTGACTCCGGCCTTCATATCCAACTTCACCCTCTAATCCTACTCACGATCTCCGATCACATCACCCGCCACGCAGCCCGATGCCAGCAGGGACCCATAGTCGGAGCGCTGCTGGGCCAGCAGAACGGCCGTGAAATCACCTTAGAGCATGCATTCGAGTGCCTGGTAACGGAAGGGCCGAACGGGGAGGCTCGAATTCCGGATAGCTGGTTTGCAGAGCGAGTCCAGCAATGTAAGTCGTACACCTCTCATCCCTCCCTCGGGTCAGCCCCGATAAACTGACATCTACTCTACCTCACAGTCAAGGACGTGCACAAAGCGCCGGCGCTCGACCTAGTCGGATGGTGGTCGACCTGCCCATCCAGCGGCCCCAATGCATCCCACCTACCCATCCATCGCCTGATTCTCGAGAAGCACAATGAATCCGCGGTATTTCTCGCATTCCACCCTGCCGAGGTGGCCGGAGCATCCTCAAAAGGCGGCAAACTGCCTCTCACCATCTACGAGAGCGTGTACGAAGGAGGCGAGAATGCCAACACCAATACCATGCAAGTCGACAGCGAGGACCAGCCACCAACGCTGAGCATCAAGTTCCGCGAACTCCCTTACTCCATCGAGACCGGCGAAGCCGAGATGATAGGCATCGACACCGTCGCACGAACCGCCCGCAACGCAGCCATCTATCCCTCGAGCACCAACACAGACCCAACGCAAATAAGCAAGGCCAAACAATCAACCAAGGAACAACAACAACAACAATCATCAACCGAACCATCAGCCCTCCTCTCGCCCGAAGAAGAAGAGCGTACGTCCTCCCTCCCCCCTGCCAATCCTCGAAACCAAGCCCCTTAGGAAATACTAACGAAAAACAACAGTAATCGCCAGCCTCAACACCCGCCTCAACGCCATCCGAACCCTCGAATCCCGAATCTCACTCATCAAATCCTACGTCTCCAGCATCTCCACCTCCCCCTCCAGCACCAGCAACAGCACCACCACCCAACAACCCACAACAACAACAACAACAACAACAACCCTCTCCCACCCCATCCTCCGCAACATCAACGCCTGCCTCTCCCATCTCTCCCTCCTCACCCCTCCCGCCAATAGCGCCCTGAACCGTGAAACCCTCGCCCAGGCCAACGACGTCCACCTCGTCGCCCTCCTCGGCCAACTCAGTCACAGCATCAGCAACATGCGGGAACTGGGCAGACGCACCGCCATCCTGAACAACGCCCGGCGGACCATGGCCGCGGCCGCGCGGAAATCCGGCCCGTCTGGCGGCTTGGGCTCTTTGGGTGGGAGCGGTGGTGGTGGGAGTGGCAGTGGTGTGGATCTACAGATGCGGATGGCGGGATTGCAGGGGCGGTATGGTGGGGAGGAGATGCTCTACGGGAGAATGGGGGGCGGCGGGGATGTGCTCTAGAGTGATTTTTTGAACGGATGGAATGATTTGTGGGGTG